TGTGCTTGACACAATGGATGGATGGATGGATTGTGATAAGAATTGTACGAGCCCCCAATAAAATGATTTAAATTAAAATAAAAAGGAATGCAATTTCTAATTGCCAAAATTCATTTAATTCTGTATAAAAATAGATATTTTTAAAAATCTGGGCACCTTTACCTTTACTTTTCAGAAGATGTTTGGCATTAGGCTTCAATTAAGGATTTGAGTACTAGATTTATTTTTTGTATACATACTAACAGGGTATCATTTTTCAAATTTTTGTACAGCTCACAAAATAAAGGAGGTACAATATTTTATTCTGATTTTCGTTATCATTCTCAGTGAAGGATAAATCTATATTTCTACATAGTCTTAAATGACATTTTCACTCTGTAGGATATGGGGAAATCGTTCTTAGTTTTCATGTCTTCTTTCACACATTGTGGGATGCTTTATTTTTTTAAATAAATACTTTAACTGGGGGGTCTTACATCTCTTATCACAATGCGTACATTCATCCAGTGTGTCAAGCACATTTGCACATATGCTGCCATCATCATTTTCAAAGCATTCTCTTTCCACTTGAGCCCCTGATATCAGCTCCCCATTTCTTCCCCTTCTACCTGCCCTCCCTCATGAACCCTTGATAGGTTATTGATTATTTTTTCCATCTCTTACGTCATCCTCCATCGCCCCTCACCCACTTTTCTGTTATTCATCCCCCCAGGAGGGGGTTCTAGATTGATCCTTTCTCCCCACACCCTCCTCTAATCCTACTCTCCTTGTTGGCCCTGAGGGGTTTATCTATGGTGGATTTCCTGTGTTGTTGACTCTTATCTGTAGCAGTGAGCATTCTCTGGTCTAATCTGATTTGTAAGGTAGAACTGAGGTCATGATGGTGGGGGGTAAGAAAGCACCAAAGGGCTACAGCAGGTGGTCTAGTGGCTAGGATTCAGAGGTGCTTTAAATTTGCACTCAAAATGACCAATAAAAGAATGGTGGCACAGAAGAATCCTGCATGGTTCCTGATGAGTCTTTTCATTTTGTAAGTTAGATGTGAGTTGTCACTTTAAACAGTCCTGCTCTCTCTTTTGTTGGTAGTTGTGGAGTCAATCTGGCAGTGGTTGGTTAACTGAAGACTGTCTTCTTCCCTTCTACAGCCATCACTCCTTCTACCACTGAGGCCACCAGTTTAGATCGTTAGCTGTGAGATTATGGAACCTCAGAAAAACTGGTGATTTTTTTTCATTTATAAGAACTAACTCAACCCTTCATCTTAAAAATAGTGATAGATAATATACTTCCAACCAATAAGACATGTTAAAAAGATAGGCCATACTTTGCTTCACGAAAGAATACTATAAAACTTGTGACCCACTTTGTCCCTCATCTTGCATCAACTCTGTGGCTGCCAATACACTCAGTCTTATTTGATTACCTTTTATATCAAAGAGCTGGAATGGAAAGGAATATTAACAATTGGTAATAATTTACTTCGACCCTCAACTGTAACTGTTTTATACTCATGCATGCCTTTTGTTAAAGTAGCTATATATTCCCTTGGTAAGAGGAAGAGGAAAAGAAAGTGGTTTACACTTTGTTACTTAAAGAATTCTAAAAGTCCTACACATCTGACTGCTCTATTATAGAATCTGTAATCTTTAGAATAGTTGTTTTAGACCCTTATGGGAACTCAAGAGGACTCTCTGTTGGCAGGGAAATTTTCTAGGATACTAAACTGATCACTGGAATAGACTTAGGAGATGCAGCTAGCCCCATATAGGGGAGAGAGCATTGAGATTTGGAGGCAGAAACCAGAGCAAGCATTTAATTAACTGATCCCTCCACTGTAAAATGGATACAACAGTAACAGATGAGAACCCTTCAGACCCAATTCTCTACAGAGTGTGAAGATGTCAGCCTTGTTCTTGTTGGGAGCCCTCAAGCTGGTCTGCACTCATCGTGACCCCCATGTACAGCAGAAAGGATCGCTGCCTGGTCCTGGGCCATGTTCATGATCATCAACTTTCTCATGGTTTGAGCCATTGTTGCAGCCACTACTCCATCTCCTTGAAGGTCTTCCTCTCTTTTTGCGGACCCTCTACTTTTGCCTTCTACAGAAATGAGTCCCTCCTGAGAGCATGTCCAAAGTACGTGAGATGAAGTTTCATCATCCTTGCTTCAAGGGAATATTTTGACGGGACTTCTTACAAAACAGATGTGTTCATTCTGCTGGCAGCCCAAGGTACGTGTATTAGCAGTTAGTATTAAAAATAACAAGACGAAAGACGATTATACCAGAATCAAGTTCATAATGGTTGCCATCCAGAAAGCAGAGAAAACCATTTGAATTAATTATTAACAGTGCAGTGAAATTTTACCAAAGAAGACTTTCAATAGAAAAATTCAGGTTAGTTCTGTAAAGGAGACGCAAAGTCGCATGGCCGCCCCTCTTAGGTAGTTGTGAGGAGGCAGCCTGACAGTCAGGTCTCCTTTGTCCTCCTGCTACTGTCGCTTCTCCTTCAAGCTCCTGGACCCAAACATTGCACATAGCTCTCCTCTACCTCCACAGCCTAAGGATTTGTCCAAATTTCAGCAGAGTAAAGAGATATAATACTGAGGTAAGTGGCAGGTCTCCACCTAATAGGTAACGTAGGCTAATGGCTGGGGGAGAGATTTTTCCTTAATGTCCTGTTGTGTGTTAAGGAGCACATGCAGCAATAAGGATAAACTGACAGTCCTCCCAACTAGACCTATCTGGCCAAGGACACACCAGAAGGTTCCCCTTCTGCCCTTAATTAACAATGTCAGGGAGAGGGCACGTGTGGAAGATACCACCTATAACACCCGGGAAGGGGGTGAACTGGTGTGTCATGTGACTGTCCCCATGTGACTGTCATGTGACTGTTCCTCACCAATGACACAAAGTGGAGTCTGTGTGGGAGAGTTCTCCTTGGATATCTTTTGAGCTAGGAAGGTTGAGAGGGAATGGGAGGTTACTCACTACAGACTTTTTTCTATTGCATGTCATTTACTTATTTTTCTAAGTAATAAATGATACTTTCCGTATGCTTCATGTGTTCAGGCTCTGATCAGAAGGACCTTATAGAAATTAAGGAATCCAAATTAGTTTTTAGTTCCCTTTTATAATGGCCTCCAGGCTGTACCCTGTGAATACATTAAAGCCTTGGAAAGTGATGTCTCCCAGTAGCCTTGACTTCAACATTCCTAATAACAGTATGACCTCTATAATCTCAGCTTTCATAGACCGTCTTCATTCTCAGTGTGACCGTCTCTAACCAGTAATCCCCTTTTGAGTTCGCTCGCTCTAGGTTCCCACAATGTTGGGAACTAGCACCCTGCAGAAGTGCTAATCTGTGGAGCCCACTCCATTTTCACTCTCTTAGGCCCCTTATG